GACATCCCCCACATGGTCCAAGATGGCCTCCAGCAGCCCCAGACCCCAGCCAGACGCCCGAAGACGGCCCAAATATGACCCTCAAGGGGCTTTCTAAACGCAGAAAACAAGATTTCCAATTGGTTTTGTCTGATTTGAGCTGTTCGGTTCTTCGGTCTTGTGGGCGTCCGAAAACGCCCGAAAGGCCGGGAAAACCGTTCCAAGACGACCAAAAAAGGTTTTCTGACACTCCAAGAGAGCCCCAAATCACTGCCCACAGAGGGATCCACGACGGACCAAAATTATCCCAAAAGACTTTCCAGAAGCATTCAAACCGCGACCCGAAACAGCGGTTCGCAGCATGGTGGCCCGAGGAACCCTCCAGAGGCCGCCCAAAAGGCGCCAGTGACGTCTCCAGAGGCCCCTAAGGAACCCTTGAAAAGCTTTCGCGAGGTCCTCCAAAAGATAGCCTCGGCGGATCCTCCGCGAACAAGTATGAGGAGGGCGGGGAAGGGTTCGCGGGGCAAAGAAGGCGAGAAAGGGGAAAAGGAAAAGGAAGAGGAAGAGGAAAAGGACATTTGAGGGAAGGAGAAGGAGCAACAATATGATTCTATGATAACGGTGATGGCGACAACTGCAACCAAGAACGATCGCTGTCTCGATTGATGTACCTCTCTCTAATTCTGCCTGCACGCTAGACGGGAAGGACCAAGGTGCATGGCGCGAATCGCCAATCCTGTTTTGTGTGTATCTATGTATTCAGGTTTATACACGAAAGTACCGGCTTGCTACGCTGCGCCATGGAGTCCTTGATCCGTTAGGGTGGTTTGGAGCGGAAGGAGCCCGCGGCGCGCGGGGAAGGTCGGAGGAGGGGGAGAAGAGGAAGGAAGGAGGGAGGGTTAAGGAAGTACGGGGAAGCGGTCGAGGGAGAAGGGAGGGGGAGGTCGAAGGAGAGGTCGAATGAGAGGTCGAAGGAGAAAGGAAGGAGTAAGGTAAGGAGGGGAGGGAGAGAACGAGGAAGAAGGCGGGAGGGAAAGGAAGGGCAGTGAACGATGCTTGGAGCCTCCGGAAGCAGCTCGGCACAGCAGGCGGGATTGGAGAGCGCAGGAGAGGGATATGGGCTGGGGGTGGCAGCAGGGAGGGCGACGCGGACGATGGCAGGAGGAACGGTGAATATTGATTTCCAGGTGGCGACAGGATGTGCGAGTTGTCAAGGGAACAGAAGAGACATGTAGTGATCTGCGGATATTCCCAGAAGCGCCGAGAGGACACATAGACAATTCCGTTTCTGTAAGGGGCTCAAGAGAGCTCTAGAAGGCTTTACGGGGCCTCTAGGGGGGCCTCTCGAAAGGTTTAGAAGGGGCCTCTAGAGAGGGGAGGGGCTCTATAGGGATTCTAGAGGACTTCTGGGAGACTTTAGAAGGCGTGGCTCGAGGGTGCCTCCAAAAGGTCCTTTTTGCCAATCTGAGCATTCAAACGGATCTCAACACGTATGCGTGTGTGCACGTATTGTATGCAAATATTCGTATGTATATGTATATGCATATGCATATGTAGATATATATACATATGAATATGTATGAATATGTATATGTATATGTATATGTAGAGGTATCTGCATAGGCATATATACATGTATATGTATATGTATACATGTATGTACATGGAGATTTGTATACGCATATGTATATGTAAATGTATGCGTATATGTGTATGTATGGCATGCATCGGTATATACAGATGTACACATCGACGTATTACTTATTTGCATATGTAGATGTACATATACATATACATGTGCATCTGCACGCTTATGTATATGCGTATGCATATGCATATGTGTGTGCGTACATGCTTCTGTATATGTATATGTAACAATATATGTATTTATATATATAGATATATATATAGCTGTATACATACATATACACATAAATATACATGTTTATGTAGATGAACATGTATGTGTACATGTGCATTCATATGTCGGCGTTCATGTATATCGGTATCGGTATAGGTATATGTATATGTTTATGCAGGTGTATACTTACATGTTTATGTATCTTATCAATGCAAATGTCATGCATATGTGCTTGTTTATTCACATCTATATGTACATGCAAATGTTTATATTGATGTTGATTTTCTGGATATGTGAAAGAGCGTGTTCTACCGCTGCTGGCGGAAAACCGGGGGGGGTCACTACCGGTTCGAACCCCTCCCCCCCCCGTCCCCGTCCATTATGAAAAGGGGGGGGGTCACTACCGGTTCGAACCACCCCCTCCCCCTCCCTCTCCGAAAACCGGGGGGGGCCACTACCGGTTCGAACCCCCCCCCCCTTCGAAAACCGGGGGGGGGGACCAGGGGGGGGGGGTGCGGACAGTGGTGGGACGGTGGTGGTGGGGACAGTGGTGAGGGGACAGCGGGACAGTGGTGGGGACAGTGGGACAGTGGTGGGGACGGTAGTGGTGGGGACAGTGGTGAGGACAATGGTGGGAACAGTGGGGACAGTGGGACAGTGGTGGGGACGGTGGTGGTGGGGACAGTGATGTGGGGGGAGTGGGAACGTGGTGGAAACAGTGGGACAGTGGAGGGTATTGTGGTGGTGGGGACAGTGGTGATGGCGGTGGCGAGGACGGCGGTGGGACGATCGGACAGAGGTACAGTGGGGACAGTGGTGGGGACAGTGGGGACAGTGGTGGGAACAGTGGGACAGCTCAGTGGGACAGCGGAGGAGTCAGTGAGACAGTGGGGACAGTGGGGATGGTCGGGCAGTCGTTGGGGCCATGGAGAAAGTGGGGAGAGTGGAACCGTGGTGGGAACAGTGGTGGGGACAGTGGGGACAGTGCGACAGTGGTGGGGGCACTGGTGGGGCTGGTGGGGACAGTAGGGAAGGTGGTGGAACCAGTGGGGACAGTGGTGATGAGGACAGTGGTGCTGGGAACAACAGTGGGGATGTGGTGCGGACGATGGTAGGGCCCGGGAGTCGTTTGCTGGCGGTGAGTGGGGTGTGGGGAGGGGTTCGAGCCGGTAGTGACCCCCCCTCCGGTTTTCGAGGAAGGGGGGGGGGTCGAACCAGTAGTGACCCCCCCCGGTTTTCGAGGGGGAGGGGGGGGGGAGGGGTTAGGGGAGGGGGGGTTTAGCCGGAGAGGGAGGGGGGGGGGGGGGTCCATCAGGGGGGGGGATTTTCGGGGGGGGGGGGGGGACCCCCGGGTTCTGGAGGAAGAAGGGTGGCAATTTTTCACAGTAGAGCTGCGGTGGATCACGCTCTCTCGGATATGTAGATGTATATGTTCATGCATATGTATTTGTAGTTTCTCATGCATATGTGTACGCATAGGTAGATGTAGCTGTATATTTACATATCAATGATTGCAGTGATTCCTCGACGCGCGGGGGCTCTGGTTTCAAGCTCTCATTCACCAGGCGCCCTCGCGCGCCCGTCCCTCCCGCGCACCTTCCAGTGGATGCTCGCCTCGCTCCTGGCTGCGGCGGCGTCCTGCGTGCACCTGACCCCTTGCGGGGCCGGCACCTTGCCAGCCGGCGTGGCCCCTGACGCGGGCCCCGCGACCCGGGACGTGGGTACGCAGCTGCCTGCGCCGCTTCGCCTCGGAGGACGAGGCCATCGCGGGCTACCCTGCCGAGGCTGACCGCCACGGCGCCCCAGTGCCGCCTCCCCTCCACCGCGGGGGAAGACGGCTCAGGAGGAGAACGCGTTCGACACTGGCGAGGAGGAGGTCGAGGACCTGGGCGCCTGGTTTGGGCATGCCACGCCTCAGAACGTGGCGGCCACGTCCCTGCTGCCCGCCCCTGCTGCTGGAGGGATCGCTGGGGAGTTCGGGTTCCTCACTCTGAAGGACAGCGTCGACTCGGACTACGAGGTCACGGTGGCGGCGTTGCGAGTGCGGGCCGACGCCCTCTCGACCGTGGCGGTGGTGCCCTCGGGTCGGCTCGACACCGCCTACGAAGCCATGCATCTGCCAGCCTGGGATCGCGTCGGGTCGCCTTTGGACGGCCAGCTGCTCTCGGCCGAGACCATGGAGACCCCGAGCGCCTTGGTGAGGCGCTTCGCCTCCGCGCCCCCCGCCGAGGGCGAGGTCTACGCCTTCCACGACGATGGCTGGTGGCCCGACCCCGTGGCTGCCGTGAACGCGGTCCCCGCCGAGATGCTGGCCACTCTGGACTCCCTGCAGGGCGCTGGCGAGCCCGCGCTCGAGGCGACAGGCGCACCTCAGGAGATGGGGCCGGCGTCGTCCGCCTTCGGACCGCAGCTCCGCCCCCCTCTGGTGCCCGGGCCGCAGCCAGTGGCCGCAGGGGCTGGGTTCGGCGCGTGGTTCTCCAGGGAGGCCTCTCCGCTCCCTCCAGCCGCCACGACGCCTCCGAGCGATCTGTTGGAGCAGTCGCAGCTTGGTGCGGTCGAAGAGTTGAGGAGCCTGGCCGCGGAGGTGGCGGAGCTCAAGCGGCAGCGGGCAGCCTTGCACGCGCAGCCAGCTGCGCCGCCCGCCGCCCCGAAGGCTCCGACCCGGAAGGCCGCGGCCAGGAAGGCGCCGCAGCAGCAGCAGCAGGTTCTGGAGCAGATCTTGGCTGGGCAGAATGCGCTCTTGGGGAGGATCGCAGCCTTGGAGGCCGGCGCAGGGCCAGCTCGGAAGGCGGCGGCCCCTCCAGACTGGCGCCTGCCTCAGGCGGCCAGCATGGCCCCGCCCTTCGGACTCCTCGGCCCTCCTCCCCTCGGCGGTCCTCCGCCGGCGGCTCTCGGAGGCGGGGTTCTAGCCCCTCAGGGCCTGCCCGCCGCGCGCGCCGCTGCTGCCGCCGCCGGACCTCCTCCGCCTCGCCGGGGAGGTGCGGCGAATCCGTTCCTGCAGCGGCCCCTCTCCAGCCAGGCGACCGCGGGCCCCCCAGGCTTTGCTCCGACGCAGGGCCCTCCGCCCCCGCCTCCACGCGGCCCAGTCCCTCCTCCTGCGAGCCAGACCGCAGAGCCCCAGACCCCCGTGGCTCCCACAGGAGCCGGCGACCGCGAAGAGCAGCTGATGGCCCTGTTGGCCCGGCAGGCGTCACTGATGGGGGCCCTGGCTCAGAGCGGCGGTCGCCAGCCCGACGCGCTGTCACTCCTCGCGGGCGGCGGGCACGACGAGGGGTTTGGCGAGAGCTCTGGCATGCGACTTGGCGGCGCGCGCGGCGCCGCCGCCCTGGAGCTGTTCCGACGCCAGGTCCAGAGCAGCCCCCAGGCCGTCTCCGCCCTGGTCAGGCGGAATCGCCAGCTCAACATGACGGGTGCTGCGAGCGAGGAGGGCATGAGCGACTCCACGCGGAACTTCTTCGCCCGCAACGTCCCGTTCGGGCAGGCGAGGTCGTCGGCCTTCCTGGTTTTCGGCATGGCGGAGGTGTTCGACCTGATGGAGCGCGGCTCGTGGCGCGCCGCCGAGGCTCAGCTGGCGCTCCTCCTCTGCGCGTCGGAGCAGGCGGCCCTGAGGGAATGGCGCTGGACGTCAGCTTGGCTGCTGACTCACCTGCCCGAGCCGCCCTGGGCTTCGATCCGCCAGGCGCCAGCCCGCGGGCAGATCCGCCCCATGTCCCGCTTGGCCTCGCCCGAGTGGGTCGCTGCAGCGATCGGCTACACCAATGACACGCTGGCCCTCGAGGACGCGGAGCGGAAGCTTGCGCCGGCCGCGGCGCCGAGGGCCGAGGAGGGCGGAGGAAAGGGGGGGGGCTCGAAGCGCCACGGCAAGGCCGCTGGCGCGCCCCCTCACGAGTGAGAGCGGGGCTCCCTGGGCTGGCTGGCCCGGGAGATCTGCATGGCGCTGCCCCAGCCTCTCTGCCGCGCGGACGCGCGGGGGACCGCAGGAGGCTGGTGGGCGGCAGCAATTCACTGGACGTGGGCATTCGCTGGGGCTTTGGCCTGATCCGCCGCCTGCGCGGGCTCCGCACGGCTTTCGGCGCCTTCGTCCGCTCCTCCATGCACGCCGCTGGGTTCCAGGAGGTTGCGACTCCTGCCGCCGGTCTGCTGCCCTGCCCCCCGCCCTTCGGGTGGGCTGCTGGTACTCCCCCGCGGGGCGTGCGCGCCCGCAGGCGATGGCTCCGCACTCGCGTCGAGCACATGTGGGTCAACGCCGTCATCCTTGCACTCTCCCACCTGCACCTGAGCGAGTCGCGGAGCTGCCCGCCGCGCGCCCGCGCTGGGAGGCCTCTCAGTTCGTCTCAGTCCGAGATGGTGTCCAGGCTGAGTAGGCCAGTGCGACCGATGTGCCGGCCCCTGCAATGGCAAGGTGGCCGCGTGGAGAAGGCCGACGCTCTGCTCGACTATCTCCTGCATGCATGCGATGCATCTCCCCGTGGGCGCTGTGGCGCCCTCTCCCGACTGCGAGATGATGACCACTGACCCGAGCAAGCCCCCCTTCGCCAAAGCCGAGTGCCATTTTGACCCCCTGGCGTTCCTGGCCCCGTTTGCCGCCGCCACGTTCTTGGAGCCGCGGCTGCTGGCGCGGGATGGGCCGGGTGCCGGCCCTCTGGCGCGCGCGGTCGGGCCCCCTGCCCGGCCCGCTCCTGCGGGGCCGGCCCGCCAGGCGGGCAAGCTGGGCGACCTCCTCGAGTACCTAAAGCAATGGGACGACGTGGGGCGACTGGAGCTGGTCGACGCGGCCGACTCCCCGCAGGCCCTGCGAGGCACCCTGTTTCCCGTGTTCAAGGACGCCAGCACGCAGAGGGTCGTCTTCAATCGCATCGCTCGCAATTCGTCTGAGTTGCCACTGGGTGGCTTCTCCAGGCTGACCCCGAGCGCCGCCATGCTGGTGGACCTGGAGGTGCCGGCTGGTTCCGTCCTTCGCGTCTGGGCGGACGACCTCCAGGACTTCTACCCCGCCTTTGACTGCGCCTACGACATGGCTTGCACCAACGACGTGGCGCTCCCCCTCCCGACGAGGCTCTACGAGGGTTTCGCAGCGCTGGGCCGGCTTCGGAAGCGCTGCCGTCGCGAGGGCCGCGAGCTCCCCGAGAAAGTGGTTCCCTGCCACGGCGGCCTGATCATGGGGGGCCTGAACGCGCCCGACTGGGCGTGCGAGTCCCACATGCGACTGCTCGCCCAAGCCGGCAGCTTCCCCCCAGAGCGGCGGGTGCTGAACCGCCACCTTGCCCCCGAGGGGTCTGCCTGGGAGGGCGTCGTGCTGGACGACCACTTCGGCCTGGCTGTCGACGCTCCGGGCTCGCGGGAAGCTCGGCGAGCTATCGAGGAGTCCTTCGCCCGCGCGCGCGAGGGCTATGCGAAGGCGGGCCTCAGGGTCAGCGCTGGCAAGGAGGTGAAGGACGCGGCGGAGGCGACGGTCATCGGGGCAGAGCTCCTGGGGCATGACCGGCTCGTCGGCGCCTCCCGCACCCGCAGGCTGGCGCTGGCCTGGATGGGCCTGTCCATGGCTCGGGGCCGACGTTCCACTACGCTGGGACTGCGCTGTTCCGGCGGCCGACCCTGTCGCTTCTCCACCTTTGCTACAAGGAGGTCGACGTCGACCGCAACCCGCACGAACTGTTCGACCTGAGCAGCGCGGCCTGCAACGAGTGCGCCCTGTTCGCAGTCCTCGTCCCGCTGATGGCCACCGACCTCTCCGCGGGCTGGGGCCCGCACGTTCTGGCCTCGGACGCCTCGCACCTGGCTGGGGCGTCCGTCAAGACGCCGGCCTCAGCGCCCACCGCCAGAGCGTTCTGGCGCCAGCGCGAGCAGCGAGGCGCTCGCACGCGGCTGTACCCCTCAGGCTGGGCTGCCATGGCCAATCCCGAGGACGGCGCCGTCCTGCAGGACCTGGAGGAGGATGCCGCACCTCCCCCTGGCATTGTCGACCCGACGGCCTCGCTCATCGAGTACTTTGACGTGCTGGAGCTCTGCTGCGGGGAGGAGGCCCGCCTCATGGGGTACCTCTCGGGCCGGGGCCTGCGCACAGGCCCGAGGATAGACATCAAGTGCCACAAGTACTGGGACCTGGTCGACTCGCGCCTAGCGGAGTGGATAGATAGTATGGCTGATCTGGCAGAGACGCGTCAAGATGACCATATCACAGGTAACGTGCACCAGCTTCTCGATCGCGAGGCACCCGAGGCTCAGGTCCAGGATGCGGCCCTGGGGATTCGACCCATCCTCGACGCGACGCATCTGGGGAACGTCCTCTTCAGGGTGGGGATGCTGGCGCTGTTTGCCCACCTGATCTCTGGCCACGGGACCGGTTTGCACGAGCATCCCCTGGCGGCCTACTCCTGGCGCACGCACATCGTCGAGTTCCTGCTGACGCACGAGGCCGTGGACCGCTTCGACCTCTCGATGTGCCAGTTCGGCGCGCCTTGGAAGAAAGACACTAGCCTCCTGGTGGTGCGGGGCTCCTGGCTGGCGCCTATGGCGAGGCGCTGTCGCGGAGGGCACAAGCACACCGTCTTGGAGGGCGGCCTGACTCCCAAGGCTGCGCTCTACCCGCGCGGCTTCTGTGACGAGCTGTCCAAGCTGATCGCCGACAACCTGGACGGGCCGACCCCGCCATCCCCGGCGGAGAGTTCGGCGCCCGCTGGAGCGTTCGAGGCCCTCTGGCTGAACGACTACGTCGGCTTCGCTCCCTGGCAGCTGCACTGCCACCGCCTTTTCCGCAAGCCCCTCCACGTCAACCTACTGGAGATCGACGCAGCTTGCGACGCGGTGGACGAGCAGGGCCTACGATTCCCGGATTGCAAGCACAACCTCCTCCTGGACTCCCGCGTCTCGATCGGGGCCATCAGCAAGGGCCGCTCCTCGTCGACTGCGATCAACAAGCTCTTGAGGAGGAGGGCCCCGTTGCAACTGGCCACGGGCTCGTACGTTGGGTGCCACTTCGCGCCGACGCGCCTGCAGCCAGCTGACATCCCGTCGCGCACGCTCCGCGACCCGGCGAGCGCTCTGGCCCGCGGGGCCGAGGCCCCGCCGCCCGCTCCGTGCTGGCTGGCCGGCCTCGAGGCCGGGGGCGCCTCAGCCTTCCGCGCTTGGGCTGCGCTCCCGCTGCAGCGCCGGCAGCAGTCGCGGTGGGCTTGGCTGGTGGCGTGCCTCTGGTGGCGCGGGCTCCTGCGGCTCGCCCCTCGACCGCGGGTGCGCGACCCCGCGCTGGGCTTCCCGGGCGAGGGCCCGCGCGGCGGAGGCGGCTGGCCTGAGAGGCCCCCTATGGAGGTGAGCAGGGTTTCATCCCCTGGTCAGGTGACGGCCCGGCTCCTCCCGGGTACGGCCAGCCTCCATCAGGGTCGGGCTCGTGGAACCCTGGCACCGGCCTCCTGCGCCGCTGCAGCCTGGCCGGCGCGGCCGCTGGGCCGCCTCTTCGGGCTCCTGGTGCTGCTGCTGCTGTGGGGCCCTGCTGCCGCACCGCGCCCGCCGACCGCCCGCCCCGCTGGGGTGGACTTGGCGGCCGCGCGCGGCCTGGCGCCAGTGGTCCAGGCGCGCCGTGCTGCCCTCGTCTCGCAGCTCCACCACTGGCTGGCGGGCCACGGCGGGCCCAGCTGGGACCTGTTCATCCTGATGGACCCGGCGACGGTGGCGCGCTACCTGGCTAAGTACGGCCAGTTCCTGTACGACACGATGCGGAGCCGCCACGACTACGACGAGACGATCAATGCGGTGGTGGACGCAAATCGCGCCCTCCGACACCGGCTAGACGCTGCGTGGGACATCTCCTTCACGTGGAAGCACCTCGCGCCGGGCTCGAACCACCAGGCGATGCCGGAGGCGCTGCTGCTCGCCTCGGTGAGCTTGGCGCTGGCGTGGGGCTGGCGCGACGTCGCCGGCTGCCTGCTCCTCGGCTTCTTCGGGATGATGAGGCCCTTCGAGTTCCTGAGGCTGAGGTTCGGGGACCTCGTGCTCCCCTCGCGGACGTTGGAACGTCTGCAATCGATCTATGTGCACGTGGGTGCGCCCAAAATGAGACGCCTGGGCGCACGCCGCGAGCGCATCAGGATAGATGTCCCACAAGTTGTGTGTTTCTTCGAGGCCCTCTCTCTGCGGTCCTCCCCTCGCGTCCCTCTCATGCATGGTGGTGCCCGTGTTTTCAGATCATGTCTGGATGCCCTCATGGATTTTTTCGGAATTAAACATTCAGACAAAGTTGGCATCACCCCCGCGTCCCTCCGTCCGGGAGGGGCCACTTTTTGGTATAGACTCACAGATTCGCCAGACCGGGTTCGCTACAGGGGTCGGTGGCTCTCCAGTAGGATGTTGCAGATTTACTTCCAAGAGGTCGGGGCTAGTACGCTCCTCGCGGACCTCCCGAGCCCCCTCCGTAGCAAGGTCCGTCTTTTCGCCGAGGCTGCCGGCGACCTCCTTTTCGAGGCCACCTGGCAGCTTCTGTCTTCGAGTCGTTTGCCGAGGCCGAGCGACGTCGACCCCCGCCCTTCCGGTCGCCGTCCTCGTGTGCCGCCGCCGCTGCCAACAGAGCTCTTCGATGCCCGCTTCGCTCCTCCCTCCTCCGCCCCTTCTTCCACCGTGAGCGGTTTTGGCTAGTCGAGGCCGGCCCCAACTGAGGCCGCCCTCGAGCTGTCAGATGTTTGCAGAGGCAGTGGCGAGCCCGGAAAAGTGCATCGGCCTTGGGTTTAAGAGGAGCTTGTTCAGCAGAGGAAGGGCATCGCTGATTGCAGTGATTCCTCGACGCGCGGGGGCTCTGGTTTCAAGCTCTCCCGTTCCCGCCCACCCTTGGCTAGTCGAGGCCGGCCCCAACTGAGGCCGCCCTCGAGCTGTCAGATGTTTGCAGAGGCAGTGGTGAGCCCGGAAAAGTGCATCGGCCTTGGGTTTAAGATGAGTTTTTTTCAGCAGAGGAAGGGCATCGCTGTATACAGGTATGCTAATGTCCTGGTGTATTTATATGATTATGAATGTGTAAATGCATACGCATATGGACATACATAGGTAATGTATATATATATATGGAAACATACGTAAATGGCATACGTAAAAGCATAGGCATATATATATGTAAACCCTATACGCACATGGTATAGGCACTATGTAACCCTGTATATATATGCTTAGGTACATGACATACGTAAATGCATAGGCATATAAATTTATGTATATATTTGTATGTGTATGCATATACATATACATGCGACACTGTTTTCGATGTATGTTTGTATATACATATATATGTATATCTGTTTGTGTACAGTCATATCATATATATACACATGTATTTGTGTATGTGCATGTAGACGTCTTTGTATAATTATTTGTTTTTATATGTGTATATGTATATGCGTCGGTGTATATATAGGTAAATGGGCATACGCATATACATGTAATTGTATATGTATGTGTCTATGCATGCGAATCTACATATGCACACTTATATGTATATGTGTGTGTACATGCGTGTATTTATGCGTATGTTTACGTGTATGTCCATGCACATATATATATATATACACGTGTATGTCCATGCACATATATATATACAAATATATGTGTAGATGTATATTTACAGGCATATGTGTATCTATATGTATATCGTTATGTTTATTTCTAGGCATATGTATATGCACATCAATATGTACAGGCATGTGTACAGGCACCTCACCGGTATATGTACATGTATATTTGTATGTGGGCGTATATGTGTATGTATATGTTCACGCATGTGTAAATGTACATGTGTCTGTGTATGTGTATGTGTGTGTACATCTCTGTATATGAATGTAAACATTTTCATGTATACATGCGTATTTGTATATGTATGTGAATTTGTATATGTATATGTATATGTATGTGCATATGTGTGTACACATGCATATTCATATGTATATGTAAAGCATATTCATATGTCTGAGTCCTTGCACTTGTATATGTATATGTGGATTTGCATGTGTATGTACAAGGTAAGTTGTATATACACATATATATATGCATGTGTATAGGTGTACGTGTGTATATGCATCTGCACCTCTATATGTATATGTATATGTATATGTACATGTGTATGCATATGCATTTTTTTTTTTTTTTTTTTTTTTTTTTTTTTTTTTTTTTTTTTTTTTTTTTTTTTTTTTCCTCTGTATGTGCAAATAAAGCTTTTACGGTATTTGTAAGTATACGTATATACATATGAATACGTTAAAGTATATGTATGCGTTTATGCATATGTTTATGATTATGTACATGTGTACGTACATACATATCATGTGTCGGAAACCCTGCCCCGAGGGCCCCGGGGCCGCAGCAACCCAGGGGCACCCGAAGTCACCTAAGTGGCGCCCCCATTCCCGTGGCCTCCCGAAGGCCTCTCCCGGGCTATATCCCCCAGGAGACACCAGGAGTTTTGCAGAATTTTTTAGAGAGCCCCAAGACGGTCTCAAGAGGCCCCTGGGCTCCCCCAGGAGATACCCAGCGCTACAAGAAGGCCCCAGAATCCCCAAAGACTTCAAGACGGTTGCAAGAGGAAAATGCCACCTTGAAAGACGTATGGTCCTGTCCTTCAGGCGATGGTCCCGTTTTGAAAATGAGCTTCCATCCGTGCGTATAGCTAAAAGGGCAGCGGCGACCTAGGATCACAAATCCCATGGAAGTTGTCCCACTTTTCTCCGAAAGCTTCTGGTCGTAAAGCCTCAGGACGTCTCAAGCGAGAGTTCCAATTTGAAAAGGAGCCGCCCTCCATCGGTATAACGGTTGCCCATTTTAACACCTCAAATCACAAGGGCTGAGGGAGTGTCAGAAACACGAGGTCTGTTTTGCGGAGGGACCACCCTCAATCCACGTAGTTGCTGGAAGCTCGAGAGACACATGTCAGTGGTGTTAAGGCGACAGCCACATCTTGGAAAGGAGCCGCCCTCCGTTCGTGCAGCCGTGGGGAGATTGTAAGACAGATGTACGCGGCGCTAAGTGCGAAGCCACATGTTGAAAAGGAGCAGCCTTCCATGCGTGTAGTTGTTGGAAGCTTTTGAGCCACGGTGCGCTGCGTTAACGCGACAGCCTTTTTGAACAGGAGCTGACCTCCATGCTTGTAGCTCCGAATGTGCGCGACGCCTAGGCGCGAACAGGTTTTTCGAAAACCACTCCTACATTCGTGCCACTGTTGGACAACTTTAAAGGCGAATGTTCACAACGCCTTGTCTGTAGCCACATGTTGAAAAAGGATACGCCTTCCATCCGTGTAACTGTTTGCACACTTCGGGGTCATAAAGGGGGAATGTAAGGCGAAGAGCCGGGCTTGCCGATGATGGAGGGAGAGGGGCCGGAGGAGGAAGAGGCGGAGGTGGAAGAGGGGGGGGGACGGAGGAGGATGGGAAGGGTGAGAATGAGGAGGGGGAGGATGCGGAGGAGAAGGAGAAGGAGGACGAGGAGGAGGAGGAGGAGGAGGAGGAGGAGGAGGAGGAGGGAGGAGGAGGAGGAGGAGGAGGAGGAGGAGGAGGAGGAGGAGGGAGGAGGGAGGAGGAGGAGGGGGAGGAGGAGGAGGAGGAGGAGGAAGAGGAGGAGGATGAGGAGGAGGAAGAGAAGGAGTAGGTCGAGGAGGATCAGGATCAGGATCAGGCCCGTGGGAGTTCGTCTGCTGCTGCTTATCGCCTGCCAAGCTGACTGCCTAGCTGGGTGGGGCAGGATGAACTCTGGGGGGCGAAACTTAATGCCGCCAAACCATCCAGCGCGGCCCGTGGCTCTCGGCGGACGCCGCACCGCCCCTGTGGGCACCCCCGAATTCGGCACGCAGCCTGGCGAGGGGCCCACTGGTGGGGACCAATGAGAACTGCTACCGACCCTTGCCCTTTCCTTTGCCCTTCCCCTTCCTGCCTCTCCCTCTTCGCGTGCCTCCTTCCCTCTGGATGGTGGGGGTGGTCGCTATCTCGGGGTTATAGGCTGATGGGACAGGGGTGGGGCTCGGGTCCAAAATATCTGCACTGACGCTGCCTCTTGCAATTAGTTCGACTAGCCTAACACTACCCCTCAGTTGCTGCAAGCTGCTCAAAAGTTCGGTCGGGCGACCCTCGAACGGCCAGGAGCTTCCCCTTGGATGGCCCCTACGCTGCCAGGAGTTTCAAAAAACTCGGCCTGACTAGGCCGCCCTGAATCGCCACTGCTACTCGGCTGAGACGGCCTATCTAAACTCACGCTCTGCTCACTCCTGCTTCTCACTACGACTCCTTCAGTTCTGCCAACAACTTGCTTGCATCCCTCTCGAGCGGCCCGCGGGGGGCTGGTCCGATCTTCCTCTCCGCGCCGAGCTCCGCGAGCATCTTCTCTACGTACTCTGCCAGGGCCAGGCCGAACGAAAATGATCCTCCCCATGTTGTTCTCGCCCTCGGACTGCTTGCCCCTGTTCCTCTTCCACTGCCAATGTAGTACCACCTCCCCCACGTCGGCCATCTTCATCTTGCTGATTTTGTCCGTCCACAAGAGCTTGAACTCCTTCGCCCACACTGGGGCATCCTTCTTATCCGCCTGCTGCGCTGCCCATAGCATAGATGCCATAAATATCTGCACGAATGGTGGCCCCCTTGCTTTCCAGTTGACCTGATCGCCCTTAGCCGCCTTTTCTTTGAGGCTTTTTGATACGTCGTTGTACCCCTGTCCTGCTTCTTCCATTGCTGATGCCAAGCCCGTGCCTGTGTCGAGGTCGAACGTTCTGTACACTGTGGCCGTCAACTCGGCCAGCTGCCGACTGTCCGATAATACCAGTTTGGCGAGAATCATGACGAGCTGCGACAGCGTGGAACCCGCGAGCTTGCCGGTTCGACGGTGCTTGGCGGGTCCCCCTTCTGATGATGGGGCCAGCATCCACTCTGGAACGTCCAGCTTCTCCTCCCCCTCCACTGGCATCGTCAACAACTCTCTGCTCGGGAGGGAGGTTAGCTTCAACCGTCCGTGGAAGATGACACTCAGCCAAATGGCTACAGAGATCATCGAGCCCACCCGCCTTGTACACACATATCTTACAATCGAAGCTTCCTGGGACTTGGACCTGTCGAAACGTCGAAGTACCACGAGCAGGACACCTCCCCGCCAAGACAGCCCGTTGTAGATGTTTGTATGCATTGCCCTGCGACCCGAAGACTCGACGGCATACAATACAGGTGTTTGTTGGTGTAATTGACGAACATAAGTTATGTACTTGATGAACTCGACGCATATGGTTTAGCAGGTCTCGTTTAGTTTGAAAGCCCCGTTCGCATATGTGCCCCTCCTCCTCCTCCCAGTCGCACTTCCAAGGATGTTCAGGGACTTCAAGGGGGTCCTCAGCCTCGGGGCCCCTGTCGAGCGGAGCCTCTCCATAGGTCGGGGAAAACGTGACCGACAACTCCCTGGATCTGATCTCCGTGAAGTCTAGTCGAGCAAGAGCCGACATCGTTTCCTTACTGATGAGTTTTCCAGGGAATCGCGCAATGTGCGCGCAGATCTGTCCCTCGTCCATCCGCTCGGCGGCCTGTTGAAAGTCTTCCTGTAGCCGAACGAGCCATGGGGACGCCTGAGACAACAAAACTTGATTACCAGAGAGCGCTGTACCTCCTGGATCAAGTGGCATCGTGCCGAAAAGCAAGCACAACTCCTGCGTGTGAGACTCTGGGCGAAGGGCCCAGCTGCGATACCAGCCCAACCTGCGAACAAGAAGTTCTGTGGCAGAACTTGCTAGACGCCAATGCTGCATGACCTGTTTGTTTGTGAGCGTCCTCATCTTCCCCTCCTCCTTGCTGATCACCGCCTTCCCCTGCATCGCCCTCCTCCCATATCTCGCTATAAGTGCGTCCAGTTCTCGATAATGTTTGGCGGTCAACAGCATTGGCTCCAGACCCGTCAGCGCAGCATTCTGAACAAAACTGAGAAATAGAGTCCGCTTCCAGCGGAACGGTACTGATAAACTCCATACCTGGTCGAGCGAATAGTAGGCCTCCGCTGTAGCCTGGATCCGACGACGAACTTCTATAAATGCCGTTTGCTGCAGATTAATTCTAGGTCCCAAATACCGAACGTCCTCCTGAACTTCTCCCGAGATGCTCGAACGTCCCGTCCCCCGCACCCACTGCCGACATTTCACCGCCCCTGGTCCCTGGAAACATAGTTGCAGCTCCTGTTTCGAAACATTCTGGGCATACCCGTACTCCTGCAACTCCTCCGAAAGCGCCTCATCCGCCTCCCTGAGGACCGAAAGAAACTCTCCCACCGTGGAAAAATTGGCGGCAACATGGGCTCTGAAAAGGTCGTCGGCGTACACGCTCGTACCGACATCCGCCCTGAGCTCTTTCCAATGCGCGATCAACTCCTTCGCATGAGGGTCGATCTGACGGAGCCGCCAGAGCCACTTCATGATTGGCCTAGAGAACGTGCCTCTGAAAAGTGTAACTACGTACGGGTCCCCCATCGTGCCACCCTCGCCCGACTTCAAGTAGACCCCCCCTTCCAGAGACTCCAGTCGTACCACACTACTTTTAAAGCGCTGAATGCATAAGTCTATGTTCTCGGGGGCCGCGTGTAAGTTTACCGTGTTAGTCAACTCCTCCCAGGACCCGCACGCAAACGCATTCGTCATGTCCTTATACGTGCATGCGAAACTATGCCCCGCTCGACGGAGCCGCCAACTGAGAAGCTGCACTACTAGAATTGCATCCTCTCTTCTACGGCCACGGCAAAACCCATGCTCGATCAACATCGGGGGCACACACAGCAGATCCGAGTAGAAAGCCTTCCCGAACGCGGACAAAACGTGAACCGTTCTCCTTCCCGAGGGTCCTGGCTTCGCGTTTTTTCGTAATTGTGCCCCCGAACTACAGTGCCATCTCATCGGTGTCCTATTCGTTGCCCTGATCAAGCGGAGTCCCCCTTCCAAGATTTTCCCGAACAAGTTCATCTCTGGAAACTCCTGCTGGAAGCCCAAACCCTGCCCCTCTGTGCTAATATTTGCCATCGGCCGTAGGCAAAGGAGCCATAGTTCAGCTGGTGTCGTGCCCGTCGGCACTGCTCGACGCTTCGTGGCCGAGCGGAAATACTTGGTCACCCGCTGCTTGTCTTCCTCTGCCAATATACAATCTTCTGCCGAAATATAAGGTATGGGGCCAGGCGGAAAAGACTCCAACCATTCCTCATAGTCTGGAATCACAGATGCTGACATTCCACCTTCACAGCCTGCCTGCGACCAATGATTGATCAACACCTCTGAAGTAAGATGACCTCCACGGAGCAGCCTGCCGTCTCGACGCTTTGGACCATAACGACAATGAGCTGCTGCCCGTGATAGCCGCATCGCTTCGGCCATGTGACGTCGTCCCCAGGCCTCCTCGATCTCCTCGAGTAGGCCCTGCTGTCGGACTCGAGCAAAATGCTGCCGCCGACGTCGTAGCTTCTGACTTAGCTGCGCCAATCTCGATTCACATTCTGCCAGTGCTTCATCCTCCTCGTTCATACCCACTCTCGATCTGCGGAGGCGAGCTCGCTCCCGAAGAAGTTCGGCCCGCTCTGATGCCTCCTGCCGATACAAAAGATCGCTGGACACGTGGTGACCGAAGTGCTGCTGTCCAACCTTCACGAGGGTGTCCTCCATGTGTTTGAAGATCTCGTCAGGTCGGCCCATGGACAGCATAGCCCTCCACGTGTCCTCGCTCTCATTCAACGAAGCCTCTACCGCCGAAAGAAACTCACCCCTCCGATGTCCTTTTCTTAGGCACCTCATCATATCATCGAGATTCCAGCGCGTTCTTGTCTCCGTCGAGTTTGCTTCCCGTTCCAGCGGCTGCATACCCTGCAACTCGACATACAAGGGGACGTGGTCCCGTGGTGGTGGCCCTCGATAGGCCTGTAATTCTGCACCCAATCCAAATAACGGGGAACATCTTGAAACCATATCAATCATTCCAGTCGGGAGGAAAAGATAATCTATACAACTGCTTACACCCTTCGCGCCGTACCATGTGTGCTCCAACTTGTTCTTCATCGTATTCATCGCGAACATGTGCTGTCGTTGATTGATGAGCCTGAATACTTCACCAGCTCCTCCTCTGCGTTGTTCTCTGCACCTTCCTTCGCCCACCGCCGTCGACTCGATACTCGTCCACTTGCCCGATATTCGTGAGATCCCCTGGCCGTCGTTGAGGTCTACGTACACCAGCGGTATGCATCGACACGGTAGGCTCTGAAGTATGTTTTCGTACCATGATCCAATCAGCTTCACCGTGGCCATATACTGGGGCTGTTCCGCTGCATACTTCGGTTGGGGCGGTAGGTACATTGCCACTGCCGCTAAGTCCAGAGGACCTCGACGAATACGAGCCGCGACCGCCCTCCCTCCCGCCTCAGGTGGACTAGCCCACACTTGTCTCACATGCTTCTCACTAAACTTGCTGCCTAATATGATCGCACATCCTGTGGACTTGTTAGAAAACTGCGATGTTGTCGCTTCAGCTTCCAATATGAGCCGGTGCTGTACTCGAGTGGTCAGCACCTCTTCTACTCTGCGATGACTCCTCTGGGTGCCTGCCAACAATACCAGATCCATGTTCGCACAGCTCTGAACAATCTCCTGCATCCTGGTGCCCGTGGCGCACAGCGGGTTGAACCCGAGTACACGCAGCGCCCATTGGCCCACGGGCCGCACCATTGCGCGCACTCGCCCGCCTGGTGCCCAGCGGGAGGCCTCTTGGCCTGCCTCCCCCTGCCGCCCGTCGCTCCTGTGTGCCAGAGCGGCGGCTGGTCGAGGAGGAGGAGGAGGACGAGGAGAAGGAGGAGGTTAGGGAGGAGGATATGGAGGAGGAGGAGGAGGAGGAGGAGGAGGAGGAGAGGAGGAGGAGGAGGAGGAGGAGGAGGAGCGGGCTGGCCCTAGCATGCTTAAGGGGGTTAGGGGGCTTCTCGGTGCTTCCCGAACGGGATGCTAGGAGGTTATAGAGGCTTCAGGGGACAGGGGAAATTGAAGGAGGTGGATGAGCGTGTGGAGCAGGAGGAGGATGGAGAACATAGAAGGGGGAGAGGGGAGGGAGGAGGGCGTGTGAGGAGGAGGAGGAGGAGGAGGAGAATGAAGAGGAGGAGGATGAGGGGGAGGAGGATGAGGAGGAGGATGAGGAGGAGGAGGAGGGAGAAGGGCGCGACGGGATGAGGATAACAAGGGGGAGGGACGATCATGAGGCATGACGAGGCAGGGGATTGAGTTAGGAGGAGGAGGAGGAGAAGGAGGTGGATAATGACGATAATGGTAATGATGATGATGCTAATTCTGATGATGATGATGAGGATGATGATGATGATGATGAGGAGGAGGAGGAGGAGGGAGTGGAGGAGGGAGGAGGGTTGAGAGAGGAACGTGTGAAGGGAGGGAAGGGAGGAAGAGGAGGAGTAGGAGGAGGATGATGATGATGAGGAGGAATATTAAGAAGACTAATGCTACTAATCATCAGATGACTAGTAATAACCAGAAGAAATCCAAATTACCAAGAATGCCAATAACAATAATAATGATACGAGGGGGAGGAGGAGGGGCCGCATCCTTCCCCCCGTGCTGGAGGACTTGATGAACAAGCAGATGAGCGCGCTGGAAAAGAAACGGTATTTACGAATGCAGTCTCTCGAAGCTGACTACCGGGAGAAGGGCTACGCGACTAATTGTTTCTGGAAGTACAAGCTCCAGGTGGCCGAATTCTACAACACAGACGCTACCCAGTGGATTGTGGCGGGACTCATCATTTCGAATTTCGTTGCCCAGTGCATCCAGAGGGTCACGATGATGGGGGCGACCGGGGGTAGGAGGAGGAGGAGGAGGAGGAGGAGGAGGAGGAGGAGGAGGAGGAGGAGGAGGAGGAGGAGGAGGAGGAGGAGGAGGAGGAGGAGGTAGGATGGGCAGCCCTGGAGGAGGAGAGAGGAGGAGGAGGAGGAGGAGGAGGAGGAGGAGGAGGACGAGGAGGAGGAGGAGGAGGAGGACCCCCTCGGCGACCGGGGGACCCCACGGGACGGAGGATGTTTGGGAGCAGGGGGGAGGGCCAGGTCAGCCACGTCGAGCGAGTCAGCGGGCCCCTGCCCCTTCCCACCCGCCTTCCCGTGCTTGCGCTGGAGCGCGCTCCCGCTCAGGCACCGGAAGAGGAGCTCGCCCTAGGGGGCCACATGCGAACCCTACCCCTACCCCCCACGATTTCTGAGGACGAGGGTGGGGTTCACTTCGTTCGGGAGCTCCCAAGCGAAGTGAACCCCACCCTCCCCCTTAGAAATCGCGGGGGTAGGGGTAGGGTTCGCATGTGGCCCCCCATCGCCCGCGGTCCAACCTCCGACGACCTGGCGAGGGAGAAGTAAAAAAGCGCGGGCCCCGGGCGGACGGGCGCGGACTTTCGGAGCCGCCCTGCGCGGCGCTGCGGCGAGAGCACCCCTCGGCCTCTCCTGCTGGGCGGGAGCGGGGCAGGCGCCGCGCCGCAGCAGCACGGCCGCCTCAGCTCCGCGGGCGAGCTGCGCGGCGCCTGGGCGAGGGCAGCACTGCGCCCGCCCTCGCTCGGCCCCCCTGCCGCTGCCGCTCCGGCGCGCCTCGTCGGGCGAGGCGTCCGCTGCGCCCAAGCGGGCTCGCCGCCTTTGGGCGACGCCTCCCCAGAGGTCCGACGCTCCTCGACACATGGGAGCGGGCCATCGAGCGGGCGATCGGCCTCCGGGGGCCCTCGCCGGGCCCCGGGACCGTCCACGGAACGACTCGGGGCGACAGGCCGGCCGCGGGGCAGCGGTCCGGACCTCCGGGGGCCACGCACCGAAAACATTCTGGAGGAGCCTCCTCCTCCTCCTCCTCCTCCTCCTCCTCCTCCTCCCCCTCCTCCTCTCCCCCTCCTCCTCCTCCTCCTCCTCCTCCTCCTCCTCCTCCTCCTCCTCCTCCTCCTCCTCCTCCTCCTCCTCCTCCTCCTCCTCCTCCCCCTCCTCACGGAGCCTGGGGCGAGCCGTGCGCGCGCGGCCCCGCCTCCAGAGCGGCTCCGGCGTAGTGGCCGGGGCGCGCCACGCGCTCGGGGGCGAGGCCCGCGCGGCGCCGAAGCGAGAGCCACAGGTCCGTTTTCGCTCGCTCGCGCGATGCCCGCTGTCGATGGATAGGGGGCCACATGCGAACCCTGCCCCTACCTCCCACGATTTCTGAGGGGGAGGGTGGGGTTCACTTCGTTCGGGAGCTCTCGAGCGAGTGAACCCCACCCTCCCCCTGAGAGATCGTGGGGGGTAGGGGTAGGGTTCGCATGTGGCCCCCTAATGGAGTGAGCAATCTGCGGCCGCGCCCACGCGGGAGCTCGGCTCTCGGGAGCAACATGGGCGCGGCGCTGGGGCGAGGTCGGCATCTCGCGCTCTCGCGTGGGTTGTGCGCCACGTTCCGCTCCCAGCAAGCATTTTTTGCAGCGTCGACGCCCAAGCGTCCATGTTGAAAGGGAGCGCGTCGCCTGTGTAAGTAATGCTTTTTTGTTGGGTGGGATGGAAGGGTCTGGGTTATTGGCCGGCTAGGTGGCAAATGGGCATCTGGAAGGGAGAGTGAAGAGACTGTAGAAGGAAACGCAGGAGCAGGATGTGGGAAGAGCGTCCATCATTGTAAGGTCATAGACCCTTGCATGGGCGGAGAGCCGGACTTGGAACACCACGGGAATATCTGGAAGATGGTATCCAACTTCTTCAATGTAATCTTCCTGATCGAGCTCATGATCAACCTGTACGGCTGCTGGCTGTGTCCTACGTGGATAAAGGATTCATGGAACCAGTTCGACTGTGTGGTGGTGGCCCTTGGTGTGGTCGACCTGTGCGGGTTTGACTATCCGGGCCAGCTCCGCCTTCTTCGGATGCTGAGAGTGTTCCGCATATTTCGCCTCTTCGCGCGCTTCGAGGGCTTGCAGCAGATCGTGTTCTGCCTCAGCGCCTCCCTTCCGGACGTCGGGAGTGCGGCCATGATCATGGTCATGATCATGTGCATCTTCGCCGTGCTGGCCGTGGACATATTCAGTGGCGTCTACAGCGGCGAGGCCAGTGATAGCGACAAGTGCACCTACGACAGCGGCGACTACGGCATCTGCCTGGCCCAGTGCACCGAAAACGAGTCTGTCGGCATCACTCCACGTGGCCATTGCTGGGGCTACGAGTATTATGGCACATTTGGAAAGGCTTTTTACACACTCTTTCAGATAACGACGGGCGAGTCTTGGTCTGAGGCGGGCATACGGCCGGCATTGATGTTTTTCAGGGGGGACGGTGTGGTCATTAAGCTTGTGCTGATGCTCCTGGTGTTCATGTATGTGATCGTCACCTCCTGGATCATGTTGAACGTCGTCGTGACCGTCTTGCTGGACAAGTTTTCGTCATTCGATAGCGCCTCAACGTCCGACGCTCCAAAGCCGCCCAAGGATTTGCGGGACGCCTTTGACCAGATGAAGGCGTCAGTCGACAAGGACATGGACACTCTGCAAGCGACCATCGAGGGCTTGGTAGAGGAGCTCAATAAAAAGAAAAAGTGGTAGAGTGATGGCGCAGAAGGGTCTACCATAGACGGTGTAGCAGAAATGTTTCCGCCGTCGGGGATGCCTGTCCCTCAGGCAGCTGGAAAGCTTATACCCCTACGTGTCACGGTAGGGGTATACATTGTGCAGCCGCCCGGGGAGCAGGCGTCGCCGACGGCGGAACAGTTTATGTTATACCGTTCCTCGACCCTTAGACAGAGGGCATGCGCATAAAGCAGTGACCGCAAAGCGCGGGTTGCGCTCCTCTCTCCTCCTCCGCTGCTCTTGTTCCACCGGCCTCTTTCTGCCTGTCTGACGGCCTCCCTGTGTCGCCGTTTTAATCAACTCTCCTCCTGTCCAGTTGGGACGGGCCCACACGCGCGCATATGTGTGTATATATACACATACATACATATATATATATATATATATATATATATATATCTCGAAGACGCCTACGGCGAGTCACCGCCGCCCCCTGCCCTTTCGGAAGCGCCTATGTGGCCGAACGTTGAGGCCAGAGCCCTGCCAAGCTATCGGACCATGTGTTCCCCGAATCGGTTTAGAAAGCCTTCGGGGAACACGCGGGGGAGGACGGGGAACAGGAGGAGAGTGAGGAATGGGCGTGTTCGGGGCCCCTTGGGGGCTCTTGTGGCCGTCTTGGGTGCATCTTGGGGCCATCTTCGCTGTCTTGGAGGCCTTCTTGGCCTTCTTGGAGGCATCTTGGAGGCCATCTTGGCCGTCTTGGAGGCCATCTTCGGCGTCTTCGGGGCTATCTTGGGCCGTCTTGGGCTCGTCTTGGGGCCCTCTTGGGGGCCTCTTGGGCTGTGATGGGGTCATCTTGGAGGCCTCTTGGGCGCTCTTGGGACGATGTTGGGGGCCGTCTTGGGCCGTCTTGGGCCGTCGGAGAGCTGATAAGAAGAACTGCCAAGATCCTTCAAAAACCTGAGGACAATCATGGATTTTTGCCCTTTCGGGCCTTCCGGGAGGACGTCTTGGAGGCCTCTTGGGGACCTTTTGGCCAGTCTTAAGCCACCTTGGAGCCATCTTGGGCCGTCTTGGAGGCTTCTTGGACGAACTTTGAGGCATCTTGGACTCTCTCGGGCAGTCTTGGAAGCCATATTAGACAATCTTTGGCGACTTGGTGGCCATCTTGGGCCATCTTGGAGGCCATCTTGGGCCAACGTGACCATCTTAGAGGCCATCTTGAGCCGTCTTGGAGATTTTTTTTGCGGTCGTTGAGGTAGTTGCGGGGCCTTTCCGGGACCCTGGCGGCATCGGCCGAAGCGCCAGGGGGAGTTGTTTGGAAAAAAGAACCAAAACCCAAATCGAAAGGATCTAGCACGCCAGGCGCCCCTGTGGCAAGCCAACAGGGGGCGGCGGATGACGGAAAGCGCGCGTAGCGTGCGGTCCGTTAGTCGGAAGAAATGGAATTAGGGGGATTTTGAGGGGGTTGGCAGGTGCTTTACTGGCCCGCCCGTTTCCCTTTTAACGGACCGTTAACAGGGAAATTGCACGCTCGGGCACCCCTTTTCCTTGTTAACGGAGCCCTTAACAGGAATTAGCCTGGCGAAGGACCCAACCATATGCAGCTGCGAGTACCGCACGGATATGAGACGAAGGAGGGGGCACACAAACTAGGCCCCTCTTCTCATAGGCACCGCGCCACTGGGGCCTTCGGTGGAGCTCCCTATGGGGCCACGAAACGTGTGAAGGGTGTGCCGAAATGGGTGGTGGGGAGGCATGCGGACCCTGCCACTGGGGCCTTCGGTGGAGCTCCCTATGGGGCCACGAAACGTGTGAGGGGTGTGCCGAAATGGGTGGTGGGGAGGCATGCGAACGCAGCCACTGGGGCCTTCGGTGGAGCTCCCTATGGGGCCACGAAACGTGTGAGGGGTGTGCCGAAATGGGTGGTGGGGAGCCACTGGGGCCTTCGGTGGAGCTCCCTATGGGGCCACGAAACGTATGAGGGGTGTGCCGAAATGGGTGGTGGGGACGCATGCGAACGCAACCACTGGGGCCCCTTCGGTGGAGCTCCCTATGGGGCCACGAAACGTGTGAGGGGTGGGCCGAAATGGGCGAGGGGCGGCATGCCAACTCTGCCACTGGGGCCTTCGGTGGAGCTCATTATGGGGCCACGAAACGTGTCAAGGGTGTGTCGACATGGGTGGCGCGGGCGCATGCGAACCCTGCCACTGGGGCCGTCGGTGGAACTCCCAATGGGGCCACGAAACGTCTGAGGGGTGTGCAAAAGTGGGTGGGGGCGGCATGCGAACCCTGCCACGGGGGCCTTCGGTAGAGCACCCTATGGGGCCACGAAATGCGTGAGGGGTGTGCCAAAGTGGGGTGGGGGCGGCATGCGAACCCTGCCACTGGGGCCGTCGGTGGAGCTCCCTATGGGGCCACGAAACGTGTGAGGGGTGTGCCAAAGTGAGATGGGGGCGGCATGCGAACCCTGCCACTGGGGCCTTCGGTGGAGCTCCCTATGAGGCCACGAAACGTGTGAGGGGTGTGCCAAAGTGGGGCGGGGGCGGCATGCGAACCCTGCCACTGGGGCCTTCGGTGGAGCTACCTATGGGGCCACGAAACGCGTGAGGGGTGTGCCAAAGTGAGGTGGGGGCGGCATGCGAACCCTGCCACTGGGGCCTTCGGTGGAGCTACCTATGAGGCCACGATGTGCGTGAGGGGTGTGCCAAAGTGGGGTGAGGGCGGCATGCGAACCCTGTGGAGCTACCTATGGGGCCACGAAACGTGTGAGAGGTGTGCCAAAGTGGGGTGGGGGCGGCATGCGAACCCTGCCACTGGGGCCTTCGGTGGAGCTACCTATGCGGCCACGAAACGTGTGAGGGGTGTGCCAAAGTGGGGTGGGGGCGGCATGCGAACCCTGCCACTGGGGCCTTCGGTGGAGCTACCTATGGGGCCACGAAGCGTGTGAGGGGTGTGCGGAAATGGGAACTAATGGCGATGGCGATGATGATGATGATGATGATGATGATGACGATGATGATGCTGGTGGTGATGACGATGATGATGCTGGTGGTGATGATGACAGGATGGTTGGGAACTAATGGCGATGGCGATGCTGATGACGATGATGATGCTGGTGGTGATGATGACGAGGATGCTGGTGGTGATGATGAAGATGAGGATGATGATGATGATGATGATGATGATGATGATGATGATGATGACGATGAGTATGATGACGGCGATGGGAGGAGGGAGGAGGGGGGAGAGGAGGAGGAGGAGAGGAGAGGAGAGGAGAGGAGAGGAGACGCGGGGCGCAGTCTCTTCAAAACGAGGACCCAACACCACAGGATGGTTGGGAAAAGACGGGGGCTTCACAGGGAAAATCGGGTGACGGACGCGTTTTTCCTTGTTAACGGACCGTTAACAAGGAACTTGCACGCTCAGGTCCAATGGCGGCAACGTAAACATCTCTGAACACCGCGGCTCCCAAGAGCGAGCAGTGATGTAAACAAGCTGATAAGACCAAGGCTCCCAACAGAGAGCGGTGACATAACAAGTTCTTGACACCAGGGCCCGAAACGGGCGGCAACGTAAGCTCCGCGTAAGCTCCGCGTAGGCTTCGCGTAAGGCGTGAAGTCCTCGTCAACTTGAGGCACCTTCAAGGCAGCCCATGAGGCCAAGCGTCCTCCAAGACGGTCTTATATGCCTCCAAGACGACCCAAGAGGCCAGAGGCCCGTACGATCGCCCGAAGATGGCCCAAGATACCTCCAAGACGGCCCCAAGACGTGTTCGAACATCTGCACGTATGCAGACGGCTTCAATGGCCTCCAAGACGGCGTGGAGAGGCCCAGACGGGCCCGAGGACGGCCCAAGAGCGATCCAGATAGCCCACGACGGCTTCAATACGGCTCAAGAGGTCTCCAAGACCCCCCCCGAGCACCGATGGGCGGTCTAAGCGGGAACAACAAAGAAAGTAGGGCTTTCGCCGCCCGGGGGGCGCCCTTGGCCCCGCCCTACCTGCATAAGCTCCTCGCCAGCGTAAGGCACCTCCAGGACGGCGTGAGAGAGGCCCAGACGGGACCGAAGACGGCCTAAGAGAGATCCAAGATAGCCCAAGATGGCCTCAGCACAGCCCAAGAGGCCTCCAAGACACCCCAAGCGGCACCCGAGAGGACCCCCAAAAGTGCTGAAGGACGAATGAACCATTGTTGCATTTAGGTTTATGAAGGTTTTCCAGCTCCTCGCCTTTTCGGGCAAGAACGGCCCGATACAGCTCCAGCGCCCCCCGAGATCCATGACGGCCCGAGAGGCTCCCAAGAGAGCCTGAGGACGGCCCAGAAGGGCCCCAAGAGGGCCTAAGAGAGCCACAAGACGGCCGAAGGAGGGCCTGGGAGACGCCCAAGATGCTCTCAAAAGACAGTATGTCGTCGTCATCATCATCAGCAGTATTATCCAAATCTTCATTCGTGTTTTATCGCGCTCTAGTGCCTTCCCAAGATGCCAGCACGCCCTGGTTCCCCCTCAAGAGGCCTCCTGCAGCTTCGAGATAGCCCTAGAGGGCGCCCAACATGCCACCAGGATGCCCCAAGAGAGCCTCCAGACGGGGAGACAGAGAGAAAGAACGGGCAGGCCAGCGACATCTCGCGCTCTGAAAGTAAATGCGCTTGCCGTCCCCGTGCCAGGCAGGTCTCATGGCCTTCGGCCCATCCCGCCACCGTGCCTGGGTTGTGGGTCATGGGCCTCTGGGATGCTCGCTGGGATGTCGCGGGAGGCCTTTCGGGGACCTCTTGGGAGCTGTTTTGAAGCCTCTTGGCGGCCGTTTTTGGAGCCTCTTGGGGCTTCTTCGGGGCCTCGTGGAAGTCTCTTGGGACCTCGGGGGGGCCTCTTGGGGCTTTTTGGGGCCTCCTGTGGGCCTCAAGCAGCGGAAGACGCGGATGTTCGGTTCGTGTTCCCCTTGGGCCCTTCTTGGGTCTGTCTTTGAGCCCGCTTGGGCTGTCTTGGGCGCTTCTGGGGCCGTGTTGGGGCCCTGTTGTGCAGTGTTGGGGCTCTC